CTCCTCTGCTTCTATGATAGAGTTTCTGAAATATTACAAGAAAGAGACGCCTGGGTGGATTGTGTATACTTAGACTTTAAGAAGGCATTTGATTAGGTGTCTCATAAAAGATTATTATGGAATTAGAACACCTAGGTGGAGCGAAAGGCAAACTCCTCGAATGGATGGAAAACTTTCTTCCTGAAAGACTGATGAGAACCGTAATTAGAGGGAAGCACTGGCGACGAGTAACTAGCGGAGTACCTCAATGATCGGTCTTGGCGCCGATTATGTTAATTATTTTCATAAATTATTTAGGGTCAAACAGAATCCCAGGTAGTTATCTGAATATGTTTGCAGACGACGCGAAATTGCAAGAAAAAAAAATAATTGACAATGTCTTATGCTAGTGTCTCCAAAGTGACATCGAGAACATATTTAGAGTTCTACATGGAAAAGGGAATTTAACACCAATAAATGCTATTTATTCAGGTTCGGAGAAAGTAAAAATCGTCCACTATATCAATACAAGTTAAGAGACGTAATATTAAACCAAGCAGAGAAAGAAAAAGACCTTGGAATAATCATAAACAGGAACCTAAGCCCAAATGATCATATAAATGACAAGGTTCATAAAATGCTAGGGCTGACTGCCAACATGAAGAAGACATTCGTGTATGTGGACGAAGACATGGTAAAGAAGGTAATTGCAGCTATCACAAGAAAGAAAGCCTTGAGTATGGTGCAGTGGCATGGAATCCGCACTTAAAAGAGGATATAGATAAACTAGAAAGAGTTCAAAGAGCAGCCACAAGATAGGCACTACTCTAAGAGCTATGAGCTACGAAGAAAGACTACAGAAAATAGGTCTTCCTGCTTTAGAAGAAACAAGAGGTGACATGATAATGATGTTTAGTTATATTACAGTAAGGGTGAAGTTAGACAAAGATGACTATAATTTTGAACAAAAAAAGAAGAGAGGATATGGCAAAAAGTTGAAAGTAAAAAGAGGCGAGAAAGATGTCAAGTTCAGTTTCCCAAATAGAACTATTGAAACATGGAATAATCTTCCAAATAACGTTGTGTGCGCCAAAAATATACATCAATTTCAGTTATACGATAATTTAAACACAGATACGGGACCATCTGAGCTTAGCTCTTCTCCCGTATCGAAACAACTAGGTAAGAACACACACACACACACACACACATATGTGTGTGTGTGTGTGTGTGTGTGTGTGTGTGTGTGTGTGTGTGTGTGTGTGTGTGTGTGTGTGTGTGTGTGTGTGTGTGTGTGTGTGTGTGTGTGTGTGTGCAGACTCACATTTACAAGATCATTGCACATATGATCCAAGTCTAATCAAAAGAGGACACCTGAGAAGACAGCCTTTCAGTGCTTATATAATATGACAGAGGTATTATTCAAGAGCATTCCGATATCAACCATAGCGTATCCTATTCATATCATCTTGATGTTTAAAGTGTACAGAAATATATTTGACGTCAGATAATCAATTTAAGAAAGCAATTTGTACTTTAGTGATAATGTTTACTTTAAATGTATGAAGAAAGACGTTTTATTCGGTTGAATAAAACTTGTAGCAGGGAAAAAAGATTCATGATAGATACTTACAGAAAGCGCGATGTTTTGTTGAAAGACAATGGGTTAATAAGATGAAGATGCTATATCAGTATATGATAAAACGTATAAAAGGGCGTCAAATCAGAAGATGTAATCCAACCAAAGATGTAATTCAAAGAAAGCGGGAATGCTCAAGCCACCGCGAAAATATAATTATTCTTCGTTTCATCTTTACATATACAATAATTATGAATCTTGACATGAAAAATCATAGCTTCTGAATTATTTTACATTAATTCAATGTGATTTTTCTTTTCTTTCTAGGTCTTCCTTTGCGTTTGTGTGTTTTCTGTTGATGCCGGATAGACATTTGGGTAAGTCTCCCCGGTAAGGAATATAGAAAACGAGCATTTACAGACACGGTAGAAAATGCTACTACTGTGCTTGCGGTAATAAATGCATTCCCGAAAATTGTACATACGTTGTAGAAAATATAGGCATTTAGTAATAACTTTTAACTGAATAAATTACTTCTAAACTTCTAATATCTTAAATAGATAAAAAAACAAGCATATTGAATTTCTTCAAAGACTGTAGTTAAATATTTGACCAATGCAAGAAATCTGACATGTAATGAAATATTTTTTTTCTTTTCATATGTTCTCACGATAAAATATTTTAATAGTCTGATTACGATAACAGATGCTAATGATTCTAGACATGTTACGAGAATAATTTCATAATGAATGTATTGGTAGTATGATATCAGTAATGACAGCATATTAGTGTTGATGTCTCCAAATTAATTGCTGTGAAAATAATAACGAGAGTAGGGTATATGTGAGACTGGAAGTAGATGACCGGAAAATTCACTATAAACGAAAGCCATCTGAAAAGTTTTTGCTATTATCTAAACACGGTAAATAATTCATTCATCGGTCAAACAATTGCTGGATGTGGTGACACTTGTCAAAAATAGATGTATCGGTACCAGCGTTTGATATTTCTGTCCGTAGTTTATCTCACCATCGTAAACTAACCACACCATTCTTCAAACAACAGAGGAGGAGGTTATGGCGGAGGAGGGCATGGAGGCGCAGGAGGCTTTGGCGGGGGGGGCAAACGAAAGGGGCGGAAGCGTGCCTTAAGTTATAGCCACTCTCTCTTGTATTTTAAAGTAAAAAAAAAAAAAAAGAAAAAAAAAAAAAAATGTAGGAAACATTGAAAACACGCTAATTCTTTTCCTTTTCCAGAGTATGTTTGACGAACGCCCCGACCTACAGCGTGAACGCGGTGCAGGATGTCCCCCAATGGATACTCAACGGGCGTGGTGGGGCCTGGGGCGTTCGGAGGCGGCGGAGAAAATGGCCAAAGGAAATAACCCAATGTTACACAGCTCTCGTGTATGGTGTCTGTGAATGAATGGGTGATCACTGGCCGTTGGGTGAAAGGAACGAATGAATGAATCTATATAGGCTGTGAATGGTTTTGATGGCCCATAAGCGATCGTAACAAAATGTGATGGGATGGGAAGGGAGTCCTGTGTTATTGTTAAAAGAACGTTTTGACTTATTTTTTGGATATGCACTTATAGTAAATATGAATAAAATAAGTTGCTTTGACTTTTCCTGTCTAATCGCCATGGGGGGGGGGGGGGTATTGCTCAATGGAAAATGTATATGATACTGAAAGGGATTTATTTTTCCCAGATAAAACTGTAAGACATTCCATATATCCCACTATTTTGGACATAAAAGCAGAAGGTAGATCATCCTATAAGACTTTGCACTAATTGCTTTCCCTTTTTTATTTTCATCTATTTCTTCATTGTCCCTCCATAGAGATATAATTTTTTTACCGCGTCACACAAGGCCGTTGTTGATAATAATTCACAAATTGAATTTAACCCAACAGAAACTAAAATATATGATTTAGGAAATTTAGATACATGTCCAGTTGGTATTTTCTTTACGATACTTCACTTTTTATTCAACCACAACTGTAGAAGGTCGTTATCTTATCTTGTCCTTTGTAAGTCACGAAGAAACGATGGAAACGGAGGTGAATGGATTCAACAGTTACTGTGCCTCAATGCTGTAGCCAGAGGTATCCTTAGGTTTCCCACTACATTCTACTGCAAACTAGCCGATAATACATAAATTACATTGATTGTTTAAAACGTTCTTGAAACCTTAGAGGCATAGCATAAAACTTTTTTTTTAGTTTCATCCGATCAGTTATTTCTAATCAAATTAACTTATACAAGATATTTTGAGGCCGAAATTCGCGGTTATTCATAAAATACTCGTGGATGAAATCTCAGGCAACCATGCATTTCGACGCCATTTACAGTATAGCTAGATTCTGTTCATCAATAACAAAGGAAGTAAAGTAGTAAAGAAAAATGCCTGCCCCTGGTTGCACTTAACTTTCCGCTGTCTCTTTAAAACTTTTTTTGTTTTTATGTTTGTTTTTAAGGATCACCCAGTTCATTGCTTGAAAATTACCTCTAGGAATTTTGGCCTTTTGGGGGGAGAAGAAAAAAAACATGCAAAATTAGTTAAGGCTGATGTCCAAGGTAGGGGTGTTTCCCTACATTGAGCCTCAGTCTCCTAAGCCCTCCCACGACAACAACAAGCAAGGGATTGGGGAAGCGGAGAGGAAGAGGAAGAGGGAAAGGGAGAAGAGAGAGATGGAGGTGGAGGTAGAGATGGAGATGGAGGAAAAGAAGGACAAGGAAAAGGAGATGAAGGAGAAAGACGAAGAGTAGGAAGAGGAAGAGGAAGACGAGTAGGAAGAAGAGGAGGAGTAGGAAGAGGAAGTGGAGGAAGAAGAGAAAGAAGAAGAGGAGGAGGAGGAGAAGAAGAGGGAGGAGAAGGAGGAGGAGGAGGAGAAGAAGAAAGAGAAGAAATGGAGAAGAGGCAGAGAAGGAGAAAAGTAGAAGAGACAGAGAAGGAGAAAAGGAGAAGGAGAAAAGTAGAAGAGACAGAGTGAGAAAAGGAGAAGGAGAAGGGGGAGAAAGAGGAGGAGGAGGAGGAGGAGGAGAAAGAAGAGGAGCAGGAGAAAGAGGAGGAGGAGAAAGAGGAGGAGGAGGAGGAGGAGAAAGAGGAGGAGGAGGAGAAAGAGGAGGAGGAGGAGGAGAAAGAGGAGGAGGAGAAAGAGGAGGAGGAGGAGGAGGAGAAAGAGAAGGAGGAGGAGGAGGAGGAGAAGGAGGAGAAAGAAGAGGAGGAGGAGGAGAAAGAAGAGACGGAGGAGGAGAGGGAGATTGGAACAGGGATAGAGAGATAGAGATAGAGAGAGAACAATAGTGGGAGAGAGTGTGTTAATATCCTTGTGTATGTAGAAATATTTTTTGTTTACAATATATATATCAACATGTATAGATTTTATTTTGTTACTCCATTTTCTTTTCATTTCTTTGGGAAATAATACAACAATAAAAAAATCAAAACAATATATTAAGCCCAGTGCCCAGCTGGACATATGGCACTTGGATACAAAAAAATAGAAATAAAAGCATGTGTACAAAGCTCTTGGCTAGTTTTCAGTTTACATTTCTTTCTGCTTTTCAGACTTGGGAAATGCTAAAACAGTCATGTATTTAAGTTAAATTTATCATATTTTATCCATTTAATTGTTGTAGAACTAGAAATCTGCTTAAACATATTCTTTATCATCTGACAAATTCAAAACAGAATTGTACTGACCCTTGCTATGCAAAGTAAGTTTCATGTTAATGGCATTTGTATTATTTCTCAGTATCTTATCCAAAGCAATCTGTTAAACTTAACTTACAAAAGAGTTATTAGTTTTAAAAAAATAACTTCTGTTTTGATTTTAAAACAATACTTTCCACAGTCATTACTCATCATTACCAAAATTAGAAAAAAAAATAACTGATTAGAAGTAAGCACAACACAAGAATGCGGGCACTCACAAATGCAAATTCAGGGTGCAAGAGTGAAGTTAGAAAATGCACAAGTGAGGTCTCAAAAAGAAATCAAAGAAGAAAAAAAAAGTACAAAAAGAACCGGCAGTGAAAGTGCAAAATAAATACTGGTAGTCGTGTCAAACCTACACAGCTATTGTGTCGTTGCTTAAGTCAAGATTTGTTGAACAGTGTGCCTAAATATGCATTGAAAAGGTTCGTGAGCTGAGATTCATCTTTGCAATAGGACACACAACAGATGGCCCAAGTTCAATGTTCCAGCTGTGCGTGTTGATGAATGGGCCAGAGGTTGTTATCTATACAAGAGAAAGTCTTAAGAAGCCAAGTAGCACTGAATGACACTTGAGAAGACTCGTGATTTCTTGAAGGATGTCACCCTGGAAGCCTTTTTGGAAACCTGAATTGATTAGACTGAACTGTCCTGATCATAAAACCCCAGAGTATGAGGGCTTGCTGCATAAACATCCACTGGACTCAAATTAGACTGTCGCTATGTTAAATTTCAAAAGCATAAATGTTACAACACTATTTTTAAGCTAACCTGGTTGCCCTCAAACTCTTCTATAGTAATGTAGCTGCTTGTTTATAAAAGACAAAAAAAAGTCTTGAGTGGCTTTCATTGCACACGCTAATGTGTTTAGATTTTGTAATTAGACTTGATCACCCTAGAATTATCTTTCAAAGTGGATACAAAAGAGATATTATCCTGGCAAGTTAGCATAAAAGTTGAAGAGTAACATAAATCTTTAGAGTATAAAGACCTACTCAATAAATTAATAACAATTATTCAATATAATATCATAAAACAAAGATTAATCAAAGGGTTGAGAAAGGCATATTGTTTTCAATAAACACACACAATGGACCTTGCAAGGTGGCTTATACAGCAAGATTTGTAACTAATACATTCACACTTCCTTTTCTAATGCCCAAACAAATGATAAATGCATATACAGGCACTATAAATTACTAACAGGTTTTCTTTCCGGACTACATAACTAAAAATTCACAGAAAAATTCATGATGAAATAACAACACGAACAACAAAAGGGGAAGTGGCACACTATTCCCACAAGGAACCTCTGTATCAGCACAGGAGCACTTCATTCTTGCAGAGCTACCATGCCGTTCCCACTGACGCTGACCAACATCATGAAGAACTACTCCCTACTTTCATTTCTCACAACTAGGCCTATCTATCTGCGAGATGCCCATCACAGCCTCACAATTCGTCATCAAAGCGGTCAAGGTTATGCAGGTGATCGCCGTAGTCCGTAGCTTCCGAGCCTACAAACACGTCGTGGTGATCGAGGATTTCCAAGAAGGACAGTAGGTCATCATTGTCGTCATCTGCTGCGGCGAACAGATGATCCACCTCGTCCTCCGCTATGTCCCTGGAGGAGGAAAAGGAGACCCATTTTATGAGTCTGTGAACTTGAATATGGTTATGAAACTATTAAGATACAGTAAAATGTGTTTATGCAGAGAAATGATACTGAAGTGACTAAGTTATATCAACACAATTTTTCAAATTAATTTCTGAATCCTACACATACAATATTATGATATAAATAAGAGTAAAAAAAATTAAAAACAGCACATTTGCACATGCACACATATGAGTGTCAATGTAAGCCTGTGTAAGTGAGATTGTACTAGTATCCATTTCTGGAAATGTAAAAGTGAGCGAGTGAGAGTATCACTTTGTGCCTGTGTCATTGAAAAACAGAGAATGTGTGGGTGTGTATGAATATCAATATGACTGAATGTGTGTGACTGTGAGTGAGGGAATAAGTGAGTGAATAAGTGAGTGAGTGTGAATGAGTGAATAATTGAGTGAGTGAATAAGTGAGTAAGTGTGAGTGAGTGAGTGTCAGTGAGGGAGTAAGTGTGAGTGAGTGAGTGTGTGAGTGGGTGAGTGAATAAGTGAGAGAGGGAGTGAGTAAGTGTGAGTGATTGAGTGAGTAAGTGAGTGAGTGAGTGAGTGAGT